TCACTCATTGGAGTACTTGTTCGAAGTACATAAACAAATGCTGGGAATTACTTTCCAAATACAAATTGAGCAATCACTTTCCAAATACTTGTTTGAACTTCGAACTTAACATTGTTAACAATGTTCAATTTACACAACTGACTGAACTAAGTACTCATAAAAATTAATAATGCAACTGAGTTCAATTTACACAACTGGGTACAATGTTCGAACTTAATATTTAACAATGCAATCAAAACATAATTCATATCCATTCATCTTCAGTTCTCCACACAACTGTTACTGGACAGTAAACACCATTCATCTCCAAACAAAACCACAATCTGAAATTTACATAATGCAACAATTGTCTTTCAAAGTTTCAAACCAAACCAAACTGAAGACCCCAAACAAAACACAATCAATTGTCATTCAAACCATACTGTCATAGCAAAATAAAACAAACCAAACTACTAAAATCCCAACAGTTCTTTAACATATTATACAAAACAAAAGAGTTCCAAGTTCCAACTTTTGGGAAGCCGCAACAGTTAACACAAACCAACAACCAGGCCAAATGTAGCTCTCAATCTCAGATTCTCAGTAGGACTGTGAGACAAGTTAAAAATCTGCAATTTCAAACAATTCAAAGAGCATTTTTAGAGAAAGAAAAAGACAGCTCAAAGCTTCAAGCTATCTAGAATTCCAGATTCCAGAAACATACAACAAAATAAGGAGCAAGTGTATAATAAAATACCTGAGCTTGTACAACAAATGGAAAATCACTATATGTCGACAATGCAAGGCTCTCTTCCCGTATTCATAAATTCTGTATAATAAGATAGTAACACAAGAAATTAGTTTAGAAGTAATCTAAATAAACATACAAATAAAGTATACATTAAACACAAGTAATAAGATAGGCTTACCAGCTTCAAGTTGTTCAAGATTATCTAAATCTTCTTCAATTTTAATCGAAGTTGTTGATTCATTACGAAGCCAATCTTGGACACACACAAGAGCTTGAACCAATCTAGGAGTCAATGAACTCCTAAATGGATCAAGTATGCGTCCGCCGGTGCTAAAGGCTGATTCTGAGGCAATACTAGAAATCAGAATGGCTAGCACATCACGTGCCATCTCAGCAAGAGTGGGAAATCTAAGTGAGTTCAACTTCCACCACCCCAGAATGTTAAACTTTTCATGGTCTTCCTCAACATCTTCACCCAAATATTTATCTAACTCCGTTTTAGAATCAACTCCGCCACATTTCTTATGCTTCTTTAAATCTAGCATGAATTTTGAGAGCAATGATAAAGAAGATGGAGAAGATGGACCAGAACATGGAGAAGATGGAGAAGATGGACATGAACCAGAACCACCATTTTTCATTGCATACACATTAAACAAAGTATCCATGTATGTTTTCACATCCTCTTGTATTTTCAAACCTACTGTTTCTCCAAACATAGAACCAAGTGCAAATGAAAGAGTATTAAACTTATGGCGTGGATCAAGCACACATGAGATAAAAATCATTTTGTTCATCTTATGTGGATCCCCCCAATACTTGTCAAATTTTTCTTTCATATTCTTTGCCATTTCTCTCAAGAAAGCATCTTCATTTTGCATCAACTCTTTCAAAGAAGAATCAACAACACATATTTCAAGAAAGTGCACATTAGACGTAATATAAAGTGTACCTGATACTTTCAAGGTGAGTTCATAAAAAATTTCCAGAAACTTCACAATACGTCTTACACTATCCCAATCACTACTTAAAAGTGGACCTGCAGGTTGTCCATCCTCACAAATGCAGTTAGAAATACATGATATCAAACCATAATCAATATCACAATACTTTGTAAAGGCTTCCTCATAAACTGTAGCAACCTTCAACATCAAATATGTGGAGTTCCACCTAGTAGGAACATCCAAGCACAATGATTTTTTAGAAGTTATCCTATCAAGATCACAACATTCTTTAAACTTTTTCCATCTTGCGGGAGATTGTCTAATGTACCTAACAGCTTGTCTTATTCGTTCAACAGACACACTCCCATCTCTCAACCCATCTTGAACAACTAGATTGATGATGTGAGCCATACATCTCACATGAACATGCTTACCTTCCATCAAGTTAGTGTTCCATCTAGTAAATTGCTTGGATAACTCTCTAACCATCACATCATTAGAACTCGCATTATCAACTGTTATAGTAAATACTTTATCTACTCCCCATTCAAGTAAACACTTAGCAATACCACTAGCTAAATCTTGACCTTTATGACTAGTAATTGGACAAAAATTCAATATCCTTTTATGTAATTTTCAATTATTGTCAATGTAATGGGTTGTAACACACATATAATTAATTCTTTGAATTGAAGTCCATGTATCAGTAGTAATACATATTCTCTGTTTTGATTCTTTAAGAATAGACTTCAAAGCAAGTCTCTCTTCATGGTAAATCTCAAGACAATCCCTAGTCATAGTAGTACGAGATGGAATATGAAATAAAGGTTGAAGACTTCTAACAAAGTCTCTAAATCCATCTTTTTCAACAGAAATAAAAGGAAGTTCATCTTTAATAATCATACGAGCTAAAGCCCTCCTACATGCCTCTTGATCAAATTTCCAAGGGATAATTGAAACATCACCTGTTAGACCTTGCGGTTGAAAACCTAATGTTGTCTGGCTACCTTCTGCCTTGTAGGGATTGGTCGAACATTTGGGAATATGCAATAACAAATTGCTTGTGCCGCTATGCTTGGTACCAGCTACATATTCTTCTGAACAAAACTTGCATCTCGCCTTTTTCACACCCTCGACATCAGTGAACTTGTTGAAGTAGCGCCAAGCCATTGATCATTCTTTAACCATTTTTCTTTTCTTCAAACCAGGTTCAGATTCACTGTTATTGGTTGTTGAATCTGAATCAGTTGAAGCATTACTTTCACCAACTTTTTCAACAATTTGAAGTTCATTCACTGTCTCTGTCTCGTTTTCCATCTACCAAAACAAACAAAAAAAAAACAAAAAAAAATCAGAAATAGAAGAATAGAAAATGAAAGAGAGATAAAAAACAGAACATAAAGACAAATTGATACATACATAAAAATTGAAAAAACAGTATGAAAATTCAAAATAAACATGTTGTAATATCTCTCTAACACACACAAAAAAAAGACACAAAAAACACACATTATTTGATTTATGTTGAGAAATAAAAGGTGGAAAACATCACATTTGAGCTCTAAGAGAGAGGGGGAAAGCAACAATGAACCAATAATAACTAATAGTTAGAGAGAATGACAGGCTTACCGTCTATTAGGGTTTTGCGTCGTTTGCTCTTGATTGGAAATTGAATGTGAAGACTTGAGAGTTGAGACTTCGAGATTAGTTTTCTACTTCGAGAGAACTTGGAGTTCACTGGCTTGAGACTTCGAGAGGACTGAGATAAAGAGTGAAGAAGAAGAGAGGCGGAAGCTTGGTCGGACTGAGATGAAGAGTGAAGTGAAGACTTCAAGTTCGAGAAGACTGAGTCACTGAGCTGTGAAGACTGAAGAGAGGCGGAAAAGAGGACTGAACATCGATATAACCTAGGGTCGGTCTGACAAATGAATAAGTATACTTAACCCTAAAATTTTAGGGTAGTATTTATATATAGGCCCATATAATTTCGGATCGGATCGGATTAAAATCATGCCAATCCAAATCCAATCCGAAAATCCGAAATTTTATAAAACATAATCCGTATCCAATCCGAAAATCCGAAAATCTAAAATCCGAAATCCAAAAATCCGAAATAGAGTAGGTCGGATCGGATTTCGAATATCCGATCCAAATGCACAGCCCTACCTATATGTACACAGTGCCATTTGGAACATGAAACAATACATCATATTTTTTTTGCTTGCCCTAATGCAATTCAGTTATGGAACTACCTCAAATTATCTTTCCCACCTTCGTACACTACTACATCTCAAATGGATTCTACGAATTAGTTGTATGACATTATTCATACACCTCTATCATCCACTCCTCATCAAATCTCATCTACGACATTCATACCTTTTGCCCTATGACATATATGGATTCTAAGGAATAAACACAGTTTGGAAAATAAACGAATTCCTTTAAATATTCCATTATTAATTACTACGGCAACAGAATATTATCACTTAACAAGTCACAAAAAGGGAAAAAAGAATTGTCAATCCATACCTTTATATATTAAATGTCATCCACCAGCTGTAAATTGCTATAAACTTAACATAGATGGATCTGCTTCTTTTTCCCATAAACAATATGGCATTGATGGAGTCTTTCGTAACCACCAAGGCAGTTGGGTTATGGGTTTGGCAGGACAATCAAAACAGGGTACATGCGTACAGACAGAAATAGTTCCACTACTCATGGGATCGAAAATAGCTGTACAAAAGAATTTCACACCACTTGTCATTGAAACAGATTCCCAACAACTCATCGGTATGTTTCAAATAACCTCAATGCATTATACTAACATTATTAATAATTGCAAGTTGTTACTTCTACAACTGGATAGCCCATCCATCCAGCATATATATAGAGAGCAGAATCGTGTTGCTGACAATTTAGCTAAATATGGATCCACGCATGTAGAGCCTACCTGCATACTTTTGGCACACCTACCACCTTTTGTTACACCTTATTTACAGCAAGATCAACAAGGCACCCAACAAAGGAGGCTTGTACCTGTTTCAGCATAGCTGCTTCCTACTATATCTAGTTTTTGTAATACTAATGTAATATCTACTTATGACTTAGTACCTAGTAATGAGTCCCATGTTGGGGCACCTGTAGTTAATATTATGCACTCCCGTCTAGTTACTACGATGTCTATGTTGCATCTTGTTTGATGTACTACTAGTACTCTTAACTATCTATAATGTATATTCTTCCTTTTGACAAAAAAAATATATTCAAGTATCGAAAAGCATCACCAGAGATTCAGCACGGGTTTTCATTTCTTTGTTTTACTCCTATTGACACTACGTATCATAGACTTTTCAATGTTAAATACTTTAATAAAAATAGGTAGGCATTTCTAATGAGCACTTCTAATGAACTTTCGTGAACGAAAGGTAAAATAAAAGGTATTTAAAGGAGTAACTAAATCTGCTTTGCATCAATTGAATACCATAGGACATAGCTAACTCAATTTTGTGAATTCAAATAATTAGTGGTATTATAAAATAATTTGTGTATGAGAAGTGTGTTAAAATCAAATAATCATCGATATTTCAAAACACATACATGAGTGGTAACTTTCCGAGGGAAATTGATAAAAGCTAAACTTTATGTTATTTAGTTATATTTATATTATTGTGTTCTACTAGCATCATAAGTAAAGTTAGATTAACAATATGTTTCATGTCCTGCTTTAAACAAATATCAAAGTATGCTCTTAGTAAAGATACATAACAAATGTGATTTTTCATTTGGTTATTACTATGCAGGACTTGTTGTACTTAGTATTTATACGCTAGGCAGTCTTTACATGTATGACTATATGAATGGATAGAGAACGAAATCTCTTCAAGACGAAAACAAAAGTAGAAATAATTTATATAATACTAATTATTGACTAGAGATATAAAACAATATTACATTTTTTGTTGAACATCTTGAAAGATGATTGAGGACTTTTTTGTTAAAAAGTTTCTTTTTTTATTGAGTTAGCAATATAGAATCAACATTAATGAATATATATATATANCGTCTCAATGTGACGTCTAATGAATATGAGACTTGTTAATAATAATTTAAATGATTTTAAAGTCATGATATGACTATATATGATATTTGGATAGAAAATATAAAGTTTGTAAAAAATCGAATTTATGTCGTGGAAAAACCGACTAAGGATTTGCCTTGTACGAAGCTTTTTGAGAAGTAAATTCCGTGTGTTATATGAGGTATTTTTGGGACATATTATATACCAAATTGAAGTTCTTGGAATTTAGTTTCCAAAGCACTTAACCGTTCATTCATACGATATCCGGATAAAAAGATATAAGCATCGGAAGATGGGCTAGCGAGAGTGCCAAACT